CTTGAAAGAAAAACATTCAGACAGCCTACTTTTAAATACTGAGACCACTCTTTCTTTATTGCTTGTAATGTTTTTTTTTTTGTTTCTCTTTATTTACTAGCTTTTATATTTTGAAGCTATATTATTTTATATAGCCTATTTAAAATTCTTAACATGTAATTTCTTTAATTAAATGTTTTTTTTATATATTTATTTTTTAAAGTATGTGTTTTTACACATGTAATTAAATTCATATTTTAAGAGTTATTAAGATTAATTAATAAGAAAAAAAGTAGATCGAATCATGAGCTATCTAAAGATTCCCATCCATACTATACAATTATTTATTGCTTGTCTTTGTCGACTAATACAGAAGGTAAATAACTTTTTTTTTAAATCGCATATTAAATCGCAATCGCAATATTGGCTAAAAAAATCGCAATTAGATTATTTTCCAAAATCGTTCAGCCCTACTTTTTAAGAGATGTTAATTATTTTATTCAGTATAAGGATGCATTAAAGCGATCAAAAGTAACTGTAAAGACATGTATAATGTTGTAAAATATTTATATTTCAAATAAATGCCGTTTGTTTCTATTCATCAAAGACTCCTGGAAACAAGCATTGCGGTTTCCACAAAATATATTAGAGTTTTATTAACATAAATCATATTAGAAATGTTTCTTGAGCAGCAAATCAACATATTAGAATGATTTCCAAAAGGTCATGTGACTGAAGACTGGATTAAATTACATTTTAAAATATATTAAAACCGTTATTGTAAATTGTAATAATGATTCACAAGAGTACTGTTTTTACTATAGTTTTGATCAAATAAATGCAGCCTTGGTGAACATAAGATACCTTTTACAAAATCATTTAAAAAAAAATCTTAATGACCACAAACTTTTGATAGTAGTGTATTAATTATAATTAATCACACTGAATTACCAGTAAGTGGACCACTGTAATTTTTTCCGAACAATTTAAATGTTTGAAGTCAATTTTGGCCTTCCACAGTTAGTTGAAATAGGCCAAGTGAACTGACTATGGTGTGTTTTCATAGGTGGCCATTAAACAGATCAACCTACAGAAGCAGCCCAAGAAGGAGCTGATCATCAATGAGATCCTGGTGATGAAGGAGATGAAGAACCCCAACATTGTCAACTTCGTAGACAGGTAGTTACAACCTTTAAAGAAATGTTATTTTGTGCACATGTTTCCAATCCAGTCGTTTATTGTAGCATCTGCTTTCTGTTTTATTGTGTATGTGTGCAGCTTCTTGGTTGGAGATGAGCTTTTTGTGGTGATGGAGTACCTTGCTGGAGGCTCTCTGACCGATGTGGTAACAGAAACCTGCATGGATGAGGCACAAATTGCTGCTGTCTGCAGAGAGGTACAGTATTTCTGGGATAGTTGTGAGATCTGAACTGTTTGTGTTCTAAACTGTTTGCCTAAGCATTGTGGTCTGACTCCTTCACAGTGTTTGCAAGCTCTAGAGTTCCTTCATTTGAACCAGGTCATCCATCGAGACATCAAGAGTGACAATGTTCTATTAGGAATGGATGGATCTGTCAAGCTAAGTGAGTCTATGATCCCACTGTCACGTCCTGGCTACATCATTCAGCACATTTTTAACAAATTGTTTCTCTTTTTTTTTTCCAGCCGATTTTGGGTTCTGTGCTCAAATTACCCCTGAGCAAAGTAAGAGGAGCACCATGGTAGGAACTCCCTACTGGATGGCCCCGGAGGTGGTCACACGTAAAGCCTACGGTCCCAAAGTGGACATATGGTCTCTGGGTATCATGGCCATTGAGATGGTAGAGGGTGAACCTCCTTATCTCAATGAGAATCCTCTGAGGGTGAGACAGTCTTGTCCTGGACATTTATTTCTTCATTACCAATTCATTTGTAAGGCCTTTTGTGGTTAAAGATGATGGCTCAAGACAATTGTTTAACTTTTAAGAAAAGATTAATTGCATTAATGGATAATGCTCATCTCCAGGCGCTGTACCTCATCGCTACTAATGGCACCCCAGAACTCCAGAACCCAGAGAAGCTGTCACCCATTTTTAGAGACTTCCTAAACCGCTGCCTCGAGATGGATGTGGAGAAGAGAGGTGGAGGAAAAGAACTCTTGCAAGTAAGGAGCAAAAGTGTAGCACTATGCATATTTACATGCATACAGAAGCTTGCACAAAATGCATGTTCTTCGAGTTTAACGTGCATTTGGGACTGTGATGTGCGCTAGGTTCTCTTATATTCATTTGCATAATCTCCACCATTTTTGTACATAGAGGTTTACAGCATTTCACCTGTATTCAGCCAAAAAGAAATGCTCAGGATTTGATGTGTTATAAGCTTGGGGGTTTGAACATTTGAAAGTGAAGAGAGTTAAACATTGAACTTGTTAAACTTGTAGTGTAAAACCTAATTATTTTTTAAAATGATCAAATTTTAAAATGATAATTTTTTTTATCTTGCAGTACAATTTACAACAGTAATACATTTCTGACTGTTTTTATGTGTCCATTAACAGTCATAGAGAAGTCTGAATTTGCAAATTTGTAATAAATTATAGACATTGTATTGTATTGTATTTATTTATTTCTTCGGTCGGTCATTTTGAAGATTTACAACTTAGATCATATGTAATGCAAAAAAAAATCCTGCCATAATACAATGCAAAAAAAACCAAAAAAAACCCCATAAACAATTAAACAAAATAGAAAAGGAAAAGATGAATGAAATACATCAGAAAAATAAAAACATTAGGATTTTTTTATGCTAATAAATAAATAATAATATAGACATATTAACCTAAATTATCAAGGGGTACACCAAATGAATATTTTACATCTTAAGGCCATTGCACACTGAGTCCGAAATTCGCATCTGAAATTTTCGCACGTTAAAAAAAAAATTCAACCTCACCTTATGTCAATCACGCTTGCACACCCCCTCCGAAACTTTCGTCCGTCATAAAATTAATCGGATCGGGTTCGATTTTCTACGTTTTTCGCATCCACAGCATTTTGAGAGGTTTTTTGACAATTCAGGGCCGGCTGGAGCTCGCCGCACATCATTGCACATATGCGCAGGGCTTTCAGTTTCGGTTTTCAATTCGATCGAGTGTTTATGTTCTCTTCTCTCGATTGGATTATGAAAGGATAAGGAATAACCTTCCCTTTCAATCAGATTGAAATTTCGGATCGATTAAAATGTGTCATTGAGCAGCCAATTCGATAAATAATGTATTATTTGGGTACAATATATAACAGCCTATACAGCTGTTCTGTCTGCCCAGCGCTTCCACCGGGCCGGGTGCGTGTGTGTGTGTGTGTGTGTGTCTCCATACCTTAGACATACTGCCAGTCTCTGTTCAGAATCGATTGGTTCACTGAAATTGGTTGTCTTGTTTTTAAAATGTGGCTCCAGCATCAAACTTTTCCACTGACATTCTGAAGTAAATTTTGAATCGGAACTCGTTGATAAGGAGGTGCTTCCTCACGGCGTAATTTCAGGATTGGATGGACGCAAACGCAATATTTCCTCTTTCTTCTCTTTTCAATAAGAGAGAGGGCAACAAAATCATCATCATTCAATCAATTCATTTTGTATTTTTGCGGGGGGGTTTTCCGCAAAGGTTTAATAATTATGCATCGGACTGAGTGTGCAAGGCTTCTCTGTGCATGACGAATTTTTAGGCTGACGAACACGAACATACTCAGTGTGCAATGGCCTTAAGAGCTGATGGCTGACAAATTTGGGAACGCCTGGAATAGACTATGGAAGTATTAGAGAAGTGATGATGTTGAGGACTTTGCAATCTTCTAGAAAATGTAGTAATGTCCTTAATTTGTCTCACGCAGCATCCTTTCCTCAAGCTGGCGAAGCCTCTTTCCAGCCTCACTCCCCTTATACTTGCTTCCAAGGAGGCAATGAAGAGTAACCGCTAGCCCTTTGTCACTGCGCCAATGCTCAGATTCCTTCTCACGACCAATTCCTGTGAGAACCCCTGTCACTCCAGCAGAGTCACCTTCTAGTCTCGTGAAGGACCTTTGCTATTCAGCCCTGAAGACCTTAGTCATCTCCACCTGGGCGACTAACTTGCACAATCACCATGTCTTGCCTCCTCACACCAAACTCTCCTTTAATGTGCCTGAAGGGGCTACAAAACCAGAGGAGCCACTGACTGTTTTCTACCGATGTCTGTCATTTTATGTGTTTTATGTAAACGGTTTGACACCATTGCATTGGTCATTGCAGTGTGTACCTGAACATTTTAATGCATTTCTGTCCGAATTTTCTTGTATTTTATTAGTTTTAAGTATTGTTGAGCTCTGGCCTAACAAAGTACTTTTTTTATCTTCCAGAGTGTAATACTTGAATTTATCCCATCCTCTCATATAGACCTGTCCCTTGTGCCTACTACCTATTTGCCTTTACTTGTATCAACAAAATAGAACAATTTTGCTGTGTGAAATTAAATGAACCATTTCTGTTTTTAAATTTTTATTCCAAAACCTAAAGTTTATTAAAGCGTTTTGTATATTATGTATTTTGGTTAGCATACATAAATGGGGGTGGAAAATAACAAGAATCAGGACATTTTTGACTAGCTGTTTTATATTTATGTGTATGTAAACAGTATTTTACAATTTAACTAACAATCTGACTGAATACCAGAGTTGAATGCGTCTTCAGTTGTTGTCTTAGAATTTGCTATATTCTTTGCATGTTAAATCTTAACTTGTTTTATAACAAAACATTTTGATGAGATACACTTTCAGACATTCCAATTGAGTAAATACACGTTCTGTCTGTTTTCTGCTTATTTCCTATGAGATACAATGTTTTTGTTGATGATGAACATCTTAAAAACATCCTTTGTAAATTATTATTAAAGACCTGGAGCAAAAATGGTTGAACCTCTAACATTGACTGGTACAATTCTAGAACTTGCATCATTCTTTTATGACTCTTAATTAAAAGAGATTGGTGTGATACTGATACACTTATTGAGGAAATCTAAATGAAATTCATCTTAGTATTACCATGAATCCTTTTTCTTCTGCCTGTAATGTTTAATCATCTTTTGTGTTTTTTGTTTTAATTTGGAGATTTGTTCTCTTAATGTTGTTAATGAAGCAGTGAGATCTGTTGCATAGCCTAAGCATGTGAAATTATATATTCACCCTTAAATTCCCGTTTCTCCTTAAAATACAGAACTTTTAGACAACAGAGTCACAGCCATAATCCAAGTAACTTGCCTGGTTGCAGAGCTGAATTTGAGAGGTTTCAGCACTTCCTCTTTGTAGGCCGTAATAAAAACAGGAAGCTTGCGTATCAGGAAAGAACAGTTCAGCTTTAGGCTGTAGTTATTCGCCCGATGTCTAGTATCACGTTGTTAAACTTTATTTAGAGGTGAAATCTGTAACGTTTGCTTCCGGGACTCCAAATCATGGCTAACACTTTAGAGAATATCTCAGAATGCCCTTCATCTGACAAGAAAGAAGCTTCAGTAGGGGGTCTGAGCATTCTGGAGACCTCAATGCAAGAGAACCAGGAAGATGGTCATGTTATGTTTGAAGACTCTGTGTTTGCTGGACATCTGCAGGATGGACTGCACAGTCTTCGGCTGGAAGACAGTTTAACAGACGTCAGTCTCCACGTACAGGGCCAGAGCTTCCAGTGCCATCGCGTGGTCCTTGCTGCAGCCAGTCATTATTTTAGGTCAGTAGCACATTAAGGTCATTTGATGTGATGTGCAGAGAAATGAGTTTGCTTGTTTTTTTGTTTTTTAAATTAAAGAAAAAGAAATCAAGAATTGTGTTTCTAGTGCAGGTACAGATTTTTAAGTCAAGGTAAGTTTCATTTTTATGCTATTTGTTTTTATATTTTACAGAGCAATGTTTTGTAATGACTTGAGAGAAAAACATGAAGAAACTGTAAATCTTAAAGGCCTTGATGCTGACACCATGAGTATCCTGTTAGAATACACTTATACCAGCAAAGTCACTATTACCAAGGACAATGTTCAGAAAATGCTTGAGGCAGCCAGCCTTTTTCAGGTTTGTTATTTTTTATTTTAACATATTTTACCATGTGACCGCTAACAGGACTTCCAGTATGGTGCAATAACCTATCTGCAACACTGTCTCTGTACAGTATAATAGTTTTATGTTCCGTTATGTTTGTGCTGGGTACAAGTGATATTACTTCCCCAGTGCAACAGTTGTGGTATTTTGTAAGGTTTTGTTTTCTTTTTTCGAGGAGAAGACATCAAAACCACCTAAAATGTACCAAGCGTAACAGGGAAGTGAAAAAGTGCAAATGAACATTGTTTACAGAGAGGATTTTTTTTTCATAACTGTTATATTTGTCAAATCTAAAGGTAGCTGCTGGGTGGAGTCATATGTTTGCTAAATATAATTGATCTGGCAATTTGGTGTATTTGAATTTGATGAATTTTCTGTAAAGTCCAAAATTGTTATCAGGCTATTTTAGATTATTAAAACAGTTAAAGCATAAATTAATATAAAAAGTTCAGGTTTATTTATAGCACCTTTTAAAACAATGCTTACAAAGTCCTTTACAGAAGATGTTCACAATACTGTTCAAAAGTTTGAGGTCTGTAAGTTGGAACACAAAGTCTCTTATTTAGCATAAAACTGGTTTACTTGATCAAATAAAAACAGTAATATGGCAAAACCCTAGTCTTCTGTGTCTAACCTTCAGAAATCATTCTATATGTTGATTTTGTGTTTAAGAAATATTTCTTTTCATCAATGTTGTAAAGATGTTGTAATGTTTTTTTTACTGTCGCTTTTGATCAATTTAATGCATCCTTGCTGAATAACATTATTTCTTTCTTTAAAGAAAAATTTTACTGACCCATAACTTCTGTAATGGTAATGTCCAAAAATGTGTAAATTCATAAAAAATTATGTTATGCTCTATAATGACTTAAAATTCGATCTATGCTTGCAGTTTCCTCGTATAGTGGACGCCTGTGCCAGTTTCTTAGCAGAGGCATTATACCCGGAAAACTGTGTGGGCATCCTGAATCTAGCTGATGTCCACTCGCTGGAGTCTTTGAAAGCCCAAGTCCATGCCTACATTATCCAAAACTTCTCTCAAGTAGTAGAGCATGATGAGATCCTGGAGCTTCCTGCAGATGTGTTGGTCAGTCTGCTTCAGCATGATGACCTGGGGGTAACAGAGGAGGAACAGGTTTTTGACGTGGTTATACGTTGGGTCAGGGCCCGTGAGGATGAAAGGCGGGGTCTGCTGCTCCGTGTCCTCACACATGTGCGACTGCCATTGTTGGACCCTTGGTACTTTGTAGAAAAGGTGGAAGGAGACCCGCTAATCCGCCAGTGTGCCGAGGTGTTCCCGCTGCTGCAGGAGGCCCGGGTTTATCACCTCTCCGGGAAAGAGGTTAGTTTGACCAAGTTGACCTTTCTTCTCAATGATTAATGTCATGCACAAGTGATCACAAGACAGTTTAGTCAAATAGGAAGTGAAATACACGCTTAGGAATTATAACAGTGCGTCATAAAGGCATGGCAAGCCTTTTTGGAGGAAGTGTATTTCATAAGGGGTTTTCGTCCTTAGGAGTATTTGATTTGATTCCCAAGATTCGATTCTGACTTTAATCAGTTTGGGCATATTTACGTCACAATGTCCACTTTGCTTTTTTTTCTTCCCAAGACATGAAAACCTACTTTTCAGGCACCAAAATAAAACCTTTCATACCCTTTCATAATATTTTGCATCAACTGAGAACTTAAATCCTCTTGGTCTATAGGTGATCTCAGAGCGCACCAAACCAAGAGTGCGGGAGTTCCAGTCAGAGGTGTTTATGATCATTGGAGGATGCACAAAGGAAGAGAAGTTTGTATCTGAAGTGACCTGTCTTGACCCACTACGCAGGAGCCGTTTAGAGGTCGCAAAACTTCCAAACACGGAGATGGAATCTGAGAATGAAAATAAGAAGTGGGTGGAGTTTGCGTGTGTCACTTTCAGGAACGAAGTCTACATTTCGGGTGAGAATCGGTACATCACACCGTCTCACTGAGAAGGTGATAGAGTGACAGTAACTATGTATTTTGCTTATTTGCATGGACGCTGTTGTGCAAGAAATTTGTAAAAAACACATTAATTGTTTTCAATTTAAAACAGGTGGCAAGGAAACATTGCATGATGTGTGGAAGTATAATGCATCACTAAACAAATGGATCCAGATAGAGTACCTCAGCACAGGACGCTGGAGACACAAAATGGCTGTTGTTGGAGGAAAGGTGTATGTTTTGGGTGGCTTTGATGGAACTCAGAGATTGAACAGTGTTGAAGCCTATGATCCATTTCATAACTGCTGGACAGAGGTGAGTTCTGAAGACAAATATTCGGTAAATATTTGGTATGGGCAATGGGCTCTATGCACGGCGGTATTTCCAGTGAAGGTGAAAGGATGCTCGATAACTTCCATCGATCGTAGAGTCCAATGCAATACCGAGAATTTATATTGAATTTTATACTCCATGGTTATACTAAAGAAACGTTAGTGACAAAAACAGATAAAACAGACACCCCTCGTTATTGTGTCTATGCTTCTTTTTAAAATGATATTAAATAAACATAACTATGTATAAAATTACATCTAAACGTGTGTACGTTTCGTTTCAAAGACGGGAGGACAGTAAATTTTGAAGACTCTGCCATAATCCCGTTTTCCTCGGTTTTCCTCCGCTTTAATCTACACAACCGGAAATGGACGAGCATCCTTGTGTCAAATGTGGAATTTATGCGTGCATATAGCCCATTATGTAACTACAGGCCTTTTGCAGTCCCAGTAGTAAAATATACCTTTTCATTTTTAATGAATCTCACCGAAAGAGTGTTTTTTAGTCATTACCACAATATATAAATATGATATATGACCAAATAGTGTGGAATGATCATTTTAAATATTTAAAGCAAGGGTGCGTTCAATTGATGACAAGTAATTGATCTTCAGTGTTACATGATCTAATTATCATTCTAATGTGATTTGGTGCTCAAGAAACATTTCTTACTTTATTAATGTTGAATCCAGTTTTTGCTGCTTAATATTTTTGTGGAAACTGGGATGCAGTAACATTCAAAGGTTTGCGGCAGTGTATATGCATTAATAATATTGATCTCAGAACAGGTCAGGTAAACATCCACTATAAAAGTCCATTTAAAAGTCTTAGGCATTTGAATCGTTGTCTGAATCATAACTTTTCAGTGGATCTTTGATGGTTATTCCATATATACAGACATTTTCATCACAAATCACGAGTTGAGGTTTTATTATTATGAGGTTTTATTCTCTTTCCAGGCAGCGCCTCTCATGCTGAGTGTAAGCTCCTTCTCTGCTGCCAGCTATGACAAATGCATCTTTGTGATAGGTGGAGGCCCCAATGGCAAACTAGCCACAAACAACATGCAAAGCTTTGATTCCCTATCAAATAAATGGAGCTTAAAATGCCCAATGCCAACTGAGGCCAAATGCACAAATGCAGTGACCTTTAAGGACGCCATATTTGTTGTTGGTTTGTACCTTTTGCATTCTTTTGGTCTTGATGTTAGAGCTTAAAAACTTCTCAGCTGAGATTACTGCAATACTCTGATGATTGAACTGTTACTTGTTTTAAAATAAAGGTGGAGCGATGAAGGCCCTGTACTCGTACAGTCCTCTTGAAGACTCTTGGACGCTGATAATCCAGCTGGGCTGTGAGAGGGCCAGCTGTGGCATTGCTGCCTGCAATAACAAGCTCTTCATCACTGGTGGCCGAGACGACAAGAACGAGGTGATTGCTACCGTACTTTGCTGGAACCCAGAGGCAAACAAGTTGACTGAGGAGTGCGTGCTTCCACGTGGAGTATCTCACCATGGTAGTGTAACGCTCAGGAAGTCCTACACACATATACGCAGAATAACGCCTGGAACAGCCACGGGATGATAGATGCAAACGCTTCAGAGACTACTAGATGATTTACTCTCATATGACTCAACAAACATTTTCAGGAACCATGCAACTCAGTGGCATCTATTACACTGATACTAAAAGTGACCTCTTTTGACATTTGACAGCAGTTTTTACACATTTTGTCAATGCAGAGAGACACTTGCACTTTTAAAAGTTATACATTTACAGTACAGATTTTATACACAGATATTTATTCGGTTGCAGTTAATAACATTCTATTCATTAACATTTTACCATTACGTACTGTATAATGTACACAAAATGCAATTTATTAATCTACAACATTTTTAAACAATGAAAACATGTACATTTCTAAACGTTTGTTATTGATCTTGTTAATGATACATGCATGCTGATTTTTTTATATATATATCTAGTAAGATTGACAGATTTCTTCTTAACCCCATCAGACCTGAATTATGTTTCAAGTTTCTGAAATGATTCTTACTAGGACTAGTTGTTGAGGATCCCTAATTTTCAGCACAGCAATTGAATGGGGATGTCATCTTGGGTGGGGTGAACTTTGGCACAGAACTCACGGTGCCGCCTGTGCGATACATCTTCAGTTGTGTGCCCGACCTCATTGGGTGTTTCGGCCACTTATCACAAGACACCCTCCGCCGGGGTTGGCCCACCACGGGTTGATCAGACCCGGGTGTGTGTCGCAAAGTGGTGACATCATGCGATCACTTGGCAGCCCAAGCTGCATCCTTACATTTCAGCCACAGCCAGTGACTGCTCTGTTCCGTTACAGTGGCAAGTTCTTTGATTGCCCTTCGTTGGGGCTGCCCTCTGATCCCTACTTCCTTTAAGAGCCTTGTGGTAGAACTGGCTACAAAACCCCTGTATCCCACCTCCACTGGCCACACCTTCACATTCCATCCCCACCCCTCTGCTTCAGCTGCTAAGTTTGCATATCGCAGATTCTTCTGTTCGAATGCCTCATCAATGGCATCCTCCCATGGGACAGTCATTTCAACAATGAAGACACGCCGGCAAAACTTGGACCAGAGGACAAGGTCTGGGCGCAGGTTGGTTGCTGCAATTTCGGGTGGGAAGTTGAGCCTCTGGTTAAGGTCTACTCGCATTTCCCAATCCCGGGCTGCGTTCAGCGGGCCAGAGTTTGGGAGTGGTGGCTTAATCCCCTGTTTCTCCCCTTCCCGCATGAAGGTTGTTCTCTGTGGGATGGTAGTCTGGGCATTTAGAGGCGTGGCGTTGGTGGTTACCCTCTTGTTCTCAAGTTCGGCAGCCAAGCACCTCAGCACTTGGTTGTGGCGCCAGGTGTACCTTCCTTGAGTTAGGCTGGTCTTGCAACCCACCAGGATGTGTTTAAGGTTTGCTGGGGCTGCACACCGGGGACAGGCTGGGTCTTCTCCATACCAGAGATGTAGGTTGGTTGGGGAGGGCAGGACATCATAAGTAGCTCTGATGATGAAACTTAGCCTATTAGCCTCCATTCCCCTCATCTCACTCCATGTGATTTTTCTCCTCTCCACACCCTCCCACTTCATCCATCGGCCTTGCTGGGCTTGGGAGACTGCCTTGGCACACCTGGCTGCTTCCTTTTGGTGGCACACCTCCTCCACCACCATGTGCCTCCATTCAGTTAGAGTAGCCTTTTGCCATGTGAGTGTTGCTGCTTCCAATCCAAGGCCCCCTCTGCCATGTTGGACCTGCCCCACTATATCTCGGTGTCTGAGGGCAGCCTTTGCCGCCGCAACCGCTGTCGCCGGCTTCCATTTCCTCCCCGTTGCTAGGGTAGGATCAGCACCTCTGACTACTGGATCCCGGGAATCTGTCAGAGTCATTTCCAGCCTTGCTTTGGCACATTTGTACTCCTCCACCAGACTCGAGATTGGCAGGGAGAGGGCTCCGTTGCCATACAGGCCAATGCTGGTAAGGCATCTCGGCAGTCCAAGCCACTTCCTCACTTGTGCGTTCACTAATCTCTCCAGTCGACTGGCATGGGATAGTGTGACCTCATAGATAGAGATTGGCCACATGAGACAGGGCAGCAGCCCAAACTGAAAGCACCACAGCTTCAGCTTCCCTGGGAGAGCAGTGTTGTTGATCTTCTTGAGGCCACTGATTTTAGCATTGACAAAAATATATCTACTTAACCCCCACAGACCTGCATTATGTTTCAAGTTTCTGAAAAACATAAAAGTACATTTTCCCAGCTCATGAGGTTTATATAAATGAAAACAAATGAAAAAATATATATATATATCTTGCTTTCATTGTGATTTTTTTTGTCCATATCAATGTGTACTTCCCAAAACAGGTGTACTTCCCAAATCTGTACCAACATGAAATAAATTATTAAACATAAAATTTGTTTGTCTATACTTTAAGCTTTTTCTCAAGGTAAAAAAAAATCCAGCAGTATACCATTTCAGCTATAATTTTGAGGTTTTTGTTTTACAGATTGCACATTGTTTGTAACAAACTAAATATATTCGAATCAATCAATCTGGTCATATTAGAGTCATTTTCTGTGTGCATCGTTCTTTTTTTACAACAAAAACTTGAACATTATAACTTTACAACTTTAATCGTAAGGTTTTTACTTTATAATGCACATTTGTTAATTCATAACAAAATAAACCAAGGAATCAATCAATGCATTCATGTTAGAGTCATTTCCTGTGTGCATCCTGTGTTTTCTTGAATTTTTACAGCACTGGCAGGATGGTTGCCGGCAAGTCACTGTATTTCGATTTCCAGTAACTCTAGCTAGTCCAAGGCCGAAAAAAAGGTCCATTCCATCCTTGGGCTGTAGGCAAACAGCCGTGGGTTGGCAGACGAGCGTGGGTCTCCCCGACGGGAGAAGCCCGAAGTTTCGGGACCCCCGAGGCAGTTCTGCAAAGGCCCCTTCGGTGGAGCCACCCTCGAAACGTCCCACGAACCCACTATTCGCCCGACCGACCACCGCTTCCACAGGGCGTCCGGGGACCGGCCCCCCCGCCCACTGATATGCCCCCGTCCCACGAACTCGCTAGTTGTCCGATAACCCACTATATTTGAAAAGTACTAACCCCAGTGTTCATGCAATAAGCTGCAAATGGACAGAATCCTGCCTGCAATCTATTGAATGGGGATTTGGGTAGTGTATTTTTTGGACATTTTAATTAAAGTTTCTTTCATGATAAAAAACTATTTTACTGCACTCAGCTGGGGCCCCTGAGTCCGTAGCACCAAGCGCCATCCCATAATTCCACCGTCCACTAGGGCTGTTGGAACGAATTCGGAAATTCGAATATAATTCGAATATTTAAAAAAACAATACTATTCGAATGCTGAAGTTACTATTTGAATATTGCTTTTATATATATTTAAAAAATATATATCTATATGCTATCTTTCTCGCGGCTTACACGCATTTGAAAATGAAATGCTTTTGTTTCGTCTAATGAACAATAAAGTTTTTGAATCGTAACACAATTGTGCACGTTATCCAAGCTGTTAGGCTATCATCAGGGTTTCCCATACAGACATCCGGGAAGATCCGGGAGTCTCCCGCATATTGATTGCATCTACCTGATGCCCGCAAATTAGTTAAAATCTCCTGGAATCTAGAGCGAGAAAGAACATACTGCGGCGTGTGCATGGCAGAGACAGAATCCAAGAGTTTCAAGAAGATTGGAGAAACTCAAAATTTCGACCCAAAACAAAAATGACAGTGTTACCCGTGTTGTTGTTTTTTTTTTGTGCGAAATAATAAGTTTCTCCAATCTTCTTGAAACTCTGGATTCTGATAGAGGGCCATGGGACTTAGACATCAGTGCAAAAATGGAGGCTCTAGACCCTTCCAGAGCTGAGATATCGAAACTCAAAATTTCGACCCGAAAAAAAAAACGACAGTGGTACCCCTTTTTTTTTTTTTTCAAGGCGAGAAATTAAGTTTCTCCAATCTTCTCAAAACTCTGGATTCTGATAGAGGGCCATAAGACTTAAACCTGAGTGCAAAAATGGAGGCTCTAGACCCTTCCAGAGCTGAGATATCGAAACTCAAAATTTCGACCCGAGAAAAAAACGACAGTGTACCCCTTTCGTTTTTTTTTTTCAGGTGAGAAATTAAGTTTCTCCAATCTTCTCAAAACTCTGGATTCTGATAGAGGGCTCACTCCAGACTTAGACCTGAGTGCAAAAATGGAGGCTCTCCCCTTCCACACCTGAGATATCTCAGCTCAAAAATCTCGGCCGGAAAAAAAACGACAGTGGTACCCCTTTTGTTGTTTTTAAGGAGAAATAACAATATGCAGATCTTCGCAAAACTCTGGATTGTGATAGAGGGCCATGAGACTAAGACCTGAGTGCAAAAATGGAGGCTCTAGACCCTTCCAGAGCTGAGATATCGAAACTCAAAATTTCGACCCGAAAAAAAAACGACAGTGGTACCCTTTCGTTTTTTTTTTTTTTTCGGGCGAGAAATTAAGTTTCTCCAATCTTCTCAAAACTCTGGCTTCTGATAGAGGGCCATGAGACTTAGACCTGAGTGCAAAAATGGAGGCTCTAGACCCTTCCAGAGCTGAGATATCGAAACTCAAAAATTCGGCCCGAAAAAAAAACGACAGTGGTACCCCTTACGTTTTTTTTTTTGGGCGAAAAATTAAGTTTCTCCAATCTTCCAAAAATTCTGATAGAGGGCCATGAGACTTAGACCTGAGTGCAAAAATGGAGGCTCTAGCCCCTTCCAGAGCTGAGATATCGAAACTCAAAAATTCGGCCCGAAAAAAAAACGACAGTGGTACCCCTTACGTTTTTTTTTTTTTGGGCGAAAAATTAAGTTTCTCCAATCTTCCCAAATTCTGATAGAGGGCCATGAGACTTAGACCTGAGTGCAAAAATGGAGGCTCTAGCCCCTTCCAGAGCTGAGATATCGAAACTCAAAAATTCGGCCCGAAAAAAAAACGACAGTGGTACCCCTTACGTTTTTTTTTTGGGCGAAAAATTAAGTTTCTCCAATCTTCCCAAATTCTGATAGAGGGCCATGAGACTTAGACCTGAGTGCAAAAATGGAGGCTCTAGCCCCTTCCAGAGCTGAGATATCGAAACTCAAAAATTCGGCCCGAAAAAAAAACGACAGTGGTACCCCTTACGTTTTTTTTTTTGGGCGAAAAATTAAGTTTCTCCAATCTTCCCAAATTCTGATAGAGGGCCATGAGACTTAGACCTGAGTGCAAAAATGGAGGCTCTAGCCCCTTCCAGAGCTGAGATATCGAAACTCAAAAATTCGGCCCGAAAAAAAAACGACAGTGGTACCCCTTACGTTTTTTTTTTTTTGGGCGAAAAATTAAGTTTCTCCAATCTTCCCAAAACTCTGGATTCTGATAGAGGGCCATGAGACTTAGACCTGAGTGCAAAAATGGAGGCTCTAGCCCCTTCCAGAGCTGAGATATCGAAACTCAAAAATTCGGCCCGAAAAAAAAACGACAGTGGTACCCCTTACGTTTTTTTTTGGGCGAAAAATTAAGTTTCTCCAATCTTCCCAAATTCTGATAGAGGGCCATGAGACTTAGACCTGAGTGCAAAAATGGAGGCTCTAGCCCCTTCCAGAGCTGAGATATCGAAACTCAAAAATTCGGCCCGAAAAAAAAACGACAGTGGTACCCCTTACGTTTTTTTTTTTTGGGCGAAAAATTAAGTTTCTCCAATCTTCCCAAATTCTGATAGAGGGCCATGAGACTTAGACCTGAGTGCAAAAATGGAGGCTCTAGCCCCTTCCAGAGCTGAGATATCGAAACTCAAAAATTCGGCCCGAAAAAAAAACGACAGTGGTACCCCTTACGTTTTTTTTTTTTGGGCGAAAAATTAAGTTTCTCCAATCTTCCCAAACTCTGGATTCTGATAGAGGGCCATGAGACTTAGACCTGAGTGCAAAAATGGAGGCTCTAGCCCCTTCCAGAGCTGAGATATCGAAACTCAAAAATTCGGCCCGAAAAAAAAACGACAGTGGTACCCCTTACGTTTTTTTTTTTGGGCGAAAAATTAAGTTTCTCCAATCTTCCCAAATTCTGATAGAGGGCCATGAGACTTAGACCTGAGTGCAAAAATGGAGGCTCTAGCCCCTTCCAGAGCTGAGATATCGAAACTCAAAAATTCGGCCCGAAAAAAAAACGACAGTGGTACCCCTTACGTTTTTTTTTTTGGGGCGAAAAATTAAGTTTCTCCAATCTTCCCAAAACTCTGGATTCTGATAGAGGGCCATGAGACTTAGACCTGAGTGCAAAAATGGAGGCTCTAGCCCCTTCCAGAGCTGAGATATCGAAACTCAAAAATTCGGCCCGAAAAAAAAAACGACAGTGGTACCCCTTACGTTTTTTTTTTTGGGCGAAAAATTAAGTTTCTCCAATCTTCCCAAATTCTGATAGAGGGCCATGAGACTTAGACCTGAGTGCAAAAATGGAGGCTCTAGCCCCTTCCAGAGCTGAGATATCGAAACTCAAAAATTCGGCCCGAAAAAAAAACGACAGTGGTACCCCTTACGTTTTTTTTTTGGGCGAAAAATTAAGTTTCTCCAATCTTCCCAAAACTCTGGATTCTGATAGAGGGCCATGAGACTTAGACCTGAGTGCAAAAATGGAGGCTCTAGCCCCTTCCAGAGCTGAGATATCGAAACTCAAAAATTCGGCCCGAAAAAAAAAACGACAGTGGTACCCCTTACGTTTTTTTTTTTTGGGCGAAAAATTAAGTTTCTCCAATCTTCCCAAAACTCTGGATTCTGATAGAGGGCCATGAGACTTAGACCTGAGTGCAAAAATGGAGGCTCTAGCCCCTTCCAGAGCTGAGATATCGAAACTCAAAAATTCGGCCCGAAAAAAAAACGACAGTGGTACCCCTTACGTTTTTTTTTTGGGCGAAAAATTAAGTTTCTCCAATCTTCCCAAATTCTGATAGAGGGCCATGAGACTTAGACCTGAGTGCAAAAATGGAGGCTCTAGCCCCTTCCAGAGCTGAGATATCGAAACTCAAAAATTCGGCCCGAAAAAAAAAACGACAGTGGTACCCCTTACGTTTTTTTTTTTGGGCGAAAAATTAAGTTTCTCCAATCTTCCCAAAACTCTGGATTCTGATAGAGGGCCATGAGACTT